CGTGTTTTACTTGCATTCATTGTGGAAAGAGCTCTAGACCTGGAGTCAGAGGACCTTGGTCTGAATCCTGGCTCTGCTACTCACTATCCATGTAGCCTTGAGAGAGTCACCACCTCCCTGAGCCTGTTTCTTTATCCATAAAAGCAGGGGATAGTTTAGACCAGTGCTTCTTAAACTGTGGGTCATGACCCATACGGGGTCACAAAAAATTTGGCAATAGTAAAAGGTTTCTGCAACAACCAAAAATTAATTAAAAATCAAATGCATAATGACTCTGAGGCATTTTTGGCAGTGCTTGTCTGTGTCACAGGGCAACTTCACTGCAGCCTTGGTTCTGAATACAAAGCATGTGCACTTTGCACAGTGCATGCCTTCAGGCCACATAATGCCAACAAAAGCTGCTGAACCATGAAAAGGGGTTAGGAGTGGAAAAAGTTTAAGAAGTCTTGGCCTAGAGGGCCTCCAAGTGCCCCTTCCAGCTCTAAATCTGGGTTCAAGTAGAGTGATGTAGTAAATCACTGCAAACCTATATAGAATGTCAGTAGTGAGGACCCCAATCCCAGGTCCAGTCCTTATAGCCTTCTCAGTTCAGAACCTGGTAAATCTTGGCTGTCTCCTTGAAGATTCAAAGTCACTTCCAGTCCAGGATGAGGCCTAGAACACAAATGTGTTGAGATCTGCTTCCCTGTAGAGAGCTATGGCCCTCTTATAGGAAACACAGGTGCAGGGTTCACTTCACCTGAGCCTCAGGCAAAACCATTGATATCCAAAAGATGCTGATGGCCCTGGGGGCCACTTAGCTGCATCTGGCCCAAGGGCCTCCTGGCCTCTAAGACCCTTACAAACCTTGCTCTGGCTCATTTACTGGACACAGAACACCCACAGTCACACTACTGGAAGAAAGTGGATGGCTCTCCATGCAGGCAGGCAGGCGCCAGTAGTTGTGACACTGGGGTGGTTATCCTTCTCCTACCACCTGCAGAAGCTGGTTAGCACAGGTGAAGAGGCAGAGCCCTCTGCATAGCTCCCGAAGCTCCTCAGGGATAAGCTTCCTCTCCAACTTTGGTGTCACTGAAGGCAGCCTGGCAGGTGTGTTCTAAAATGTCCCAAATGTAAAACCTTAACTGATTCAAGGCCCGACTAGGGGAGGAAAGCTTACAGATTGGCTTCTCTCTATTTAATATTCCTAACCCTTACAAAGTTAGACAATACTTTCCGAGCAGTATCAAACAGCATTGACATTAAATACAGGGCACAGCGAGATGCAGTCAGGGTCAACTCCCCTTTTCCTCCTCACTCCTCCTCCTAGCCAGCCTCAGGAGCGCTGAACAGGGATTGCTAGTGCAATTGCTAGGGCAGGGCTCCTTACAAGTACACAAGGATGCCTGAATTTGTCTCACAGATGAAGAGTTATTTGTAGAGAAGCCACTCCCTATTTCCTTTGGGGAGGTTAGAAAAAAAAAAACTACCTCACAAAGTTTGCAAATGTGTTTATAGCCATCAAGTGTCCACAGCGATGGAAAACTCTTACTTGGAAATGTTACACTCCAAAGGGGGCTCTGAATGGGCATTCTAAGATTGGTTTCTTCCTCTTTTGGGAACTGGTAATTTCCACATCCACTTTTCTGGTTACATCTTTTTCTAGTTATCAAAATCAAGGTGGCAGCTAGGTGGTACAGTGGATAGAGCACCAGCCCTGGAGTCAGGAAAATCCGAGTTCAAATCCGGCCTCAGACACTTGACACTTACTAGCTGTGTCACCTTGGGCAAGTCACCTAACCCTGACTGCCTCATGCCCCCTCCCCCCCAAAATCAATAGGAATGGACCATATGGGCTTCTAATTTACAACTATGTAGCTTTAATTCCCAAATCAGTTCTTTCCCCTGCACAGGGAGCTGCTTCTTCATAGGACCTGTAATGAAAGAATCATTCCTCCCCTTTGAGGTTTCTTACAAGTCCTGAATCACTCAGGCAAAGTGATTTTTAGAGCTCCTTTGATGACCTCTCTCAAAATCTGTGCCTTTACCTATTTGTAAAAAAATATTTAAAGCAGCTCTTTCTGTGGTGGCTAAGAATCAGAAATCAAAAGGATGCCCATCAGTTGGGGAATGGCTGAACACGCTGTGGTGTATGGTTGTAATGGAATATTATTGTGCCGTAATAAATGACAAGCAGGATGATTTCAGAGAAACCTGGAAAGACTTACATGAACTGATGCAAAGTGAGCAGAACCAGGAGAACGTTGTACACAGTAACAGAAATATTGTTTGATGAAGAACCGTGAATGACTTAGCTCTTCTCAGCAATACAATGATCCAAGACGATCCCAAAGGACTCATGATAAAGCGGACTCGCCTCCTCCAGAGGAAAAACTGATATTGAATACAGACTGAAGCAGACTATTTTCCAGGTTTTTTTTCTTTCATTTTTTTCTTTTACTTGAGTCTTCTTGTACAAAATGACTAATCTGGAAATGCTTTACATAATTGCCCATGTATAACTTATATCTGATTGCTTACTGTCTGCAGGGGGAGGAGAGAGAGAATTTGGAACTCAAAATTTTAAATACAAATGTTAAAAAATTTAAAAACCTGTGCCTGTATGTACAGTAGGTTGTCCTCACCTAACTTGCAACATACTTTGTACAGTTTAATCTGACCCCTTCTTTGCCTACAATAGAGCTGAAGCCAGTCAAAGCACTGTGGGGTGTTTTAAAATGTTAGAAATAACCAGTTGGGACTCTAGCTTAGCATTTGGATACTTGAGAGCTGTGGTGGGAGCAATATCCTCAGGTCCCACCTTATCCAGGGGAGGCCAGTTTTCTTTAAATGTCATGGGAACCATCCTTACAACTTGGTTCAGGACACTACATGTGTAACTACACTACTAACTCTAACCCTAATTGCGCACTACATGTTCCAAGAAATGAACCAAGTACCCAAGATGGTGCTCCAGCTGGTGGACAAGGGAGTGAAGCTATGCTCAACAGGATCAAGCGTGTTTTCCTTTTGAACATTCCTTCCCTTCTCTGAACACTCTCCCCTAGCTATGGTTAAATAAGCCTTCTTTTATTAACTGCTAAGTATTCCCTCTGTCCTTCATCTTGAACCCAAGGTATCAGAAAGGCTTGGTCAGAGCTGGGCTGCTCTAAGAGTAGACTTATTCTTACATCCTCATGCTAGCATGCCCTCTGCAACACTGGAAACTACATCTATACCACAAACTATTCTGGGGGAGAGGAGGTGGAAACCTGATGAATAAATCCTGTTCAATGCAACAGGCATCTCTGGTTCAATATACATTTATTGGTTAAATCAATCTGCTCTTGCTTGAAGAGCAGGGAAGCAGTTGGGCTACAATTTCCTGCAAAACTAGCCCTGATGTTTCTCTTCTCAAATTATATCTGCTCTCTGCTGCCTGATCCTTCAAAGTTAGAGGGATTAGTCAATACAAACTATGATGTAAGAACTTCCTGCTGATAGAAGTTATGATTAGATCGTCATCTTACATTATCTTTGGATGAGGAAACAAAAACAAAACAAACAAAAAAAACCAAAACTTAATGAGAGTCCATAAGACAAATTAGACAATTCTGATGACATAAGATTAGAACGCTTTTGAATAAAACAATGTAGCCAGAAGATATGGTGGAACGGGGAAAATCTTTGCATCAGTTATCTTTCAAGAATCTAATATCCAAAATGGAGGTAACTCACACATGTTTAAGATGCACCCAAAGAGGTAAGTGGTCAATAACAAGATTTTCCTAAGAAATGGAAATGGCAAACCACCACTAATAGTGAGAGACATACCATTTAAACAACTTAGCCTTTACCTCACACCCATTCAATAGGCAAAGGTGATAGAGGAAATAGACCATTGAAGACAGGCTAATGGAGAGGCAGAAAACTTCTAACATTTACACAACTGGTTAAGAATTACAGGAGAAAAGTCACCCACCCATATCCTCTCATTTACTGATCTCACTACTAGGCATATGTCCAATAACAGAATTGGCCCATATATACTAAAACATTTATATAATTTTCTACTACTTAGTAGTAGGAGAAAAAAAAAAGTTAGCCATCCATTGGGAAATGGCTAAGCTATGGAACATAAATAATGGAATATTATTGTGCCATAAGAAATCATGAATATGAAAAATTCAGAGAAACACAGAAGGATTTAGGACTACTGATTTAGAGCCAGAAGAGACCCCAGAGGCTATACATTTCAGTCCACTCATTTTGCAGATAAGAAAAATAAGATCCAGAAAGCTATGGACATATCCACACTCCCACAGATAGTAAGCAGCAAAAAAGAATGTAAACTCAGGCCCCCTTAACTACAAATCTAGCATTCTTTGCCCTGCAATGACTAGTACAAAGACAGAAAGCAGAACCAGGCAGACGGTACACACAATGAAGAAAAGAAGATAAACAGTAGGATCCTAAGGGGCAGTTGAACCTCAATGGCCAACCTTGATCCTGGAGAAAGGAGTAGGAAACACTTCCCTCCTCTGTGGAAAGAAGTGGAAGGTGGTGATGGGTACAGAATATTGCCTCAATGATCAGACACTGTCATTTTGTGAGCCTAATTTGCTTGACCGTCTTTGTTGTAAGGGAGGATTCCATAGCGGAGAAAGCAGGGAAGGAGGATCTACCATTACATGGGGTTAAAAAAAAAAGTGGTAAAATGAAACTTTTTTTAAGGGACTCAGGTAGTGTCCCCAGCATTTAAGCTTTTGCTGAGCTGGTAACACATGATAACCTCGTTTCTACTATTCTGGATTAATATAATTTATATTACCAAACATTAGCTCACCCGGCACACACAAAAATGGGGTGAACTCCTTTCCAGAAGAGATGGCTTGGTCACAGCTTGCTGATATTTCCAGTACACCTCCCCAACACTGTCAAAGCTGTAACTGGTCCCATGGAAGTTCCCTGTATTTCTGATTAGAGAGAACTGCCCTCTAAAGACAGATCACTTCCCAAAAGACAGCAGTCTTGGATAAATTTAATTATAATTTAAGTTTCTATCCATCAGAATCCCTGGTTTGCTTCCTGGTAAACCCATTTGTGCTAAAAAAAGCTTGAGGTCTGACAAAGGCTTTCCTCACCATCACCACCTCTCCCCAAGTGTAATATTCAATTCTGAAAAAGCTGTGACATCCCAACAAAAACCTCTTCATTAATCTAGATTCTCTTTAGGATATATTTCCTGCTGTTGAATATAGATTGAGTTTTGACTGAAGGATTTCCCACATTCATTAGGTTTGTTCTCTTTCGTGTGAATTTTCTGGTGTTTAATAAAGACTGAATTTCGAGTGAAAGATTTTCCACACTCATTACATTCAAAAGGTTTATGATCTTCACTATGAATTTTCTGGTGCTGAGTAAAGACTGAGCTTCGACTGAAACACTTCCCACATTCATTACATTCATAGGGTTTCTCTTTAGTATGAGTCCGCTGGTGTTCAATCAGATGAAAGGTCCGATTGAAGGATTTCCCACACTCATTACATTTACAGGGTTTATCGCCAGTGTGAACTTTCTGATGATCACGAAATGTAGATTTGTGCCTAAAGGCTTTTCCACATTCGTTGCATTCATAAGGTTTCTCATCATTATGGATGCTCTGATGTTGAACAAGATGTTTTCTCAGACTAAAAGCTTTCCCACATTGATTACATACATAGGGCTTCTCTTTGGTGTGAATTATCTGATGTCCAATAAGAAGTGCACTTCGACTAAATGATCGCCCACATTCTCCACATTCATAGGGTTTCTCTCCAGTGTGAATTCTCTGGTGCTCAATAAGACGGAAACGCCGATTATAGGATTTCCCACATTCACGACACTCATAGGGTTTCTCTTTGGTGTGAGTGATCTGATGTCCAGTGAGGTATGATTTCTTACAGAAAGCTTTCCCACATTCATCACATTTGTAAGGTTTCTCTGTAGTATGGATTCTTTCATGCTCAATAAGAAATGAACTATTGCTAAAACATTTGCCACATTGGTTACATTCATAGGGCCTTTCCCCAGTGTGGATTTTCTGATGACGTATAAAGCCAGAATTCCTAGTAAATGACTTCCCACATTTATTGCACTCATAAGGCTTCTCTCCAGTATGAGTTCTCATGTGCTCAAGGAGTTGTGAACGGTGGCTAAAACTCTTCATACATTTTTCACATTCGTAGGGTTTTTCTCCAGTGTGGATTCTCTGATGGTCCAGAAGCCGTGACTTGCGCCCGAAAGCCATACCACACTCATTACAACCAAAGGGTTTTTCTCCCATGTGTAGTTTTTGATGATGGAAGTGACACGAGCTGTCTCTAAAGGCTTTCCCACACTCGGCGCATCTATATGCTCTCTCTGGGGCATGGCTTCTCTGATGCTCTGTGAGGTACCAGGAACGTCGGAAAGTCTTTCCACACTCCTTACATGCATAAGGTTTCTCTCCTGTGTGAATTCTCTGATGTTCAATGAGGTATGAGTTACGAATGAAGCCTTTCCCACATTCATTACAATGATAGGGTTTCTCTCCAGAATGAATTTTTAGATGCTGGAAAAGGCTTGAGCGATTACTCAAAGTTTTCCCACATTCATCACATTTGTAAAGCTCTTCTCCTGTGTGAATGAACTGATGCCGAAGCAGGCTTGAGCTATTTCTGAAGGCTTTCCCACATTCACCACATTTGTAGGGTTTTTCTCCTGTGTGGATGAGCTGATGCTGAAGGAGGCTGGAGCTGGTACTAAAAGCCTTCCCACAGTCATCACATTTGTAAGGTTTTTCAACAGTGTGTACTTTCTGATGCTCCAGGAGATTCTGGCTTTGACTGAAGGCTCTACCACATTTGTTACATCTATAAGGTTTCTCTCCAGTGTGAATTCTCTGGTGCTCAATGAGGGTTGATTTTCTCTTGAAAGTTTTCCCACACTCTTTACACGAAAAGGGTCTCTCTCCAGTATGAACAACCTGATGCCGGATGAGGTGATAGCTTCGGGTAAAACTTTTCCCACACTCATAACACACGTAGCGCCCTGGTCCAGTGTGAATGCTCTGGTGCTGAGTAAGGTGGGACACGGTAACAAAGCGTTCTCCACACTTCTGACAGTCATACGGTGCCTCATTAGTTTGGAATACATTAAATCCAACTAAGGCTGAATTCTGACTGCTGAAAAAGTCTTCATATTTGTTAAGCAGGCTTGGTTTTTCCTCTGTGTGGAGGAAGAGCTGGTTGTTATGATCTAGGATTCTCTGTTTCAAAGTCATCTCTTCACTCCGGATAAAAGAATTTCCATGTTCACTAAGCACGTCTGGTTTGTCCTCTGCTTGGAAAAGCCAATCACTGCTGTCTACAATTTCATGCTTCAATGCTGTCTCTCCATTCCCTGTCTTGTCCTCATCACCTTAGAAAAAGACAAAACAGAAAATGAGAGTGTGAAAAAGAATACAGATGAAAGCTGCTTTAGGGGATGAAAAGTGAGGAAGATGTAAGAAGGGCCAAATGTGAACACAGTCCAGATTATGGTCCTAGAACTGCCTATGGACAGATAGGCAAAATAATCCAATCTTAACTTGGGTTCCAGATCTGCCTTAGTGATGAAGCCCTTTGCCTACCAGCACTAAATGGCCACAGAACCCGCAAAAATCACAGAAGGGAACTTGGAAGTCATTTTTAAAGAAAGTTCTGACCATAACACCAAGAAAAATGAACATTTGCATTTATATAGCAAGAAAGAGAATTATAAATGAAACTATGAATCTATTATATACAACTAGTTTTTCCTTTTAGGTTTATAATTCAATACAGTTTTCAAAGCTGTCCTATTTGTGTATTCTTCCTTCTGTTCTCTCCTGCTGCTTCCCAAATAAAACAATTAAAAGCCAAAAAATAAAACACATAATCCAGCAAAACATTCCCACAATGGCTATGTCCAAAAATGCATGCTTCATTTTGGATTTTAAGTCCATCATGTCTAGGAGTAGTTAGGTGGTAGGATCCATCTTCATACCTCTGGACTTTCGGATTATGATTCAAAGATAAACATTTTGAAAGAACATATAATCTCTATACAAGCCAAAGTTACTGACCTTGAAATCAACTTGCAAATTTGCAAATTGCAAAGGCAATTTAAGAATCATAGGTTTCCCATAATGTGTCAATTAAAAAACCTGAATTCCTTAATGCAGAAAATAACACCAGAAAGCTGCCCAGAATTCAGAAAACAAAGCACAATCAAAAGAAGTTCCAAATCACCTCCAGAAAAAAATAAACAAAACACAGCATGGTATAGTGGTTAGAAAGCTGCACTTGGGAATTAGTAAAAGAAGTAAAGACCTACCAAAATGTTAAATATTCAAATGAACAAAACCCCAAATAGAGATCTTAAATATTCCAATCATAGGAAAGGAGAGAACTAACTGTAAAAGAGCTACCAAAGGGGGGGAAAAAAACTTCCCGGTCCACATGAACTGGAAAACTCAACCAAAACACTTTAGGGTTAGGGTTAGTTAAGTTTACCAAACTTGTTTTATGAGGCAAATATAGTCCTAATACCTAAACTAGCAAAGGATAAAGCAAAGAAAGAGAATTATTCTCAATATTATTAACAAACAGGTTTTTAAAAAGAAATTAAATGAAATTGTGGCTAAAAGATTACAGCAATTTACTACTTTAAAATCATTTTCTATTATCAAGCTGGATATATACTTGGAATGCAAGAATGGTTCAACATTAGGAAAACAATCAACATAATTAATCATAAAGAATAAAAACATTCAAAACCAAAAGCTATCATTTATGCAGTAAAGAAACTCAAAGTTTTCCCATTAAATACAGTAGTAAAGGAAGGATTCCCTCCCAATGACTTGAAATAATTCTAGAAATACTGGCAATAGAAATGACAAGTGAAAGAATTAAAAGTCTACAGATTTGTAGAAGATACAAAACTACTCCTATGTGAAATGACTTTAAAGTTTTAGGCATCAGCAAAGAAACTAACAGAGACAATTAAGGCCTTCAGTAAAGTTTTAGACTACAAAACAAACTCACAAAAATCAACTACTTTACTACAAAAGTAGAATCTAATAATAAAAAGAGAAGTCCCACTCAAAAGAACTACAAAATACACAAAATAGCTGTGAGTCAATCAATACCTGATGGATACAATTACAAAACGGTTGTGCAATAAAAGACAACTTCAATAGCTGGAAAAAAATTCAATGCTCATGGTCGGGCAGTGCCAATCATACAAGTGACACAGCTGCTGAAGTTAATCTATCAATTTAGCGCTATACCAATCAACCTTCCAAAGGGACCCTTTACAGAGTGAGACAAAATAACAACATTCTTTTCGTAAAAGAAAATATCCTGAGAATCTGGGGAAATAATGAAGAAAGGAAGGACTGAAGCATCAGTAAATAGCATTTTTAGACCTCACAGTAGGAGCAATCATCCCAATCAGCTGGCAGAGATTAACAAACAGAAAACTATCCATGGAACAGATTCACAACTAGGAATAGCTAGCACTTAGAGCTTTAAGGTACATAAAGTGCTTTATGAATATTTTCTCATTTGATCCTCTTCACAATAATCCTATTTTACAGAGTGTCTGAGGCCGGACAGGAGCTCAGGTTTTCCAACCCTTGGGCTACTGCCCAACAAGCTCCCCAGACTGGACAAAACAGATTCAGGAAATAACAGAACGCAATAACCCCAGGGTAAACACTCTGGCCGAAAATTAGGTTTAGACTAATGTCTTCCACCATATTCCAAAATCGATTCAAAGTTGGTCAATGGCCAGAATTTTAATGATCACATCATTAAAAAGTTAGAAGTAAATCATCTCCATTTTCACAGCCACGGGTGGTGGTGAATTCTTAACCAACCAAAGGACAGTGGCAATCTTAAAAGACAAAACTGGTAACTGATTACTTGCAATGAGAAAAACTTGCTCGAGAACAAAACCAATACTCATTGACTGAATGATAATGCTTTTAGCTGGAGAAGAGGAGCAGTCAACTGGGGAAAAAAAACCTATGTATTTAATATTTCTTAAAAGGGCTTGAGATCCAAGACATGTGGACAACTAATGGAAAAAGAGGGGACCAAAAGCCATTCCACAACACAGAAGGGGTCAAAGGGTAGGAACAAAACATCCTGGAAAGAATGGCAAACCAGTAATAACCATGGGAAAGAACAGTTTAAATCTCTAACAACCCCAAGGTTTCACTTCACATCCAGCAAGTTGGGAAAGATGACAGAAAATGGAAGCAGTCAAAGCCAGAGGGGGTGAAGCAGTGGGGACATCGCTGCCTTCCTGGGGAGCTCTGGATCCTTCTGGCTGTTCCGGAAAGCCATTTGGAACTAGGCCCACAAGATTACCACCCTGCCACGGCTCGGACCCAAACACACCATGACCAGCCCTAGACTTCACAGAGGAATAAAGATGAAATCTTTCCCATCCACTTTCTTGGACCCCTGCCTCAGAGACAAATGCTTTCCTCTCTGTGAACCTCAGTTGCTTCCTCTGTAAAATGAGGATAACCCTAATCTACCCATTTCCCTGGGGAAGTTGTCAGCAGAGACAAGACAAGTCGTGCTTGTTAAACCCCTGTGGGAAACTGAGCCATAATCAAACACTAGAGATAACAACCCAAGCTGAGAAATGTCCCCTAAGACAAAAACTGGGCTCAGTTGGGTCTGAAACTCAAACAGACAGAACCCCTATTATCTTCCTCACCTGTAATTATGGTCTGGGAGGTTTATGGTCCAGCTTTCCTGAATTACCAATTAGGCAAACCTGTGACAAGAGCTCAAACTTCACAGGCTGGAGGGGGAGACCCCAGAGCAGACCAGAACAGGCCCCCGGCTCACCGTTCTTTCCCTTGGGCAGCAGATCCTGGGTCATCCCCTCCAGCTCGACCTTCACAGGTGGAAAGAAGAAGGTCCTTGAGACGGGCTGCTCCATCGCAGTTAGCATCTCGGGGGCGGGACCCCAGACCTGCAGACGGGTCACATCAGAGCGGAGCCCTGGGATGGGGGGGAGGGGAAAGGAGGGGGAGGAGGCAGGACCCTCTCGCTGAGGCAGATACCCCAAAATTTCCAAAGATACCCGGCCTGGTCCTAATTGCATAATGCTTTCCCTCCCTCACCTGCCTATGGGGGCTCCCCCTTCCTTCCCCCATCCCTGAGAAGTCTGAGGACTGGAAGGCTGGGCTGGGGTCCCCAAGGGGAAGATCCTGGGGTGTCCTGCCCTTCCCCCCCTACCCAGTCCCATCCGTGATGGCAGCTGGGAGGGGGGCAAGGGTCTCACCCGTCGGGGGCGGGAGGCCCCAGTGGCCGCCATCCCGAAGCCCCCTACCCAGCGGGACCCCAGCTCTGGGGAGACACACGGCCACGCGGGGAAGAGGACACCCAAGGCTCGTAGGGGCGGGAGCACCCCCGCAGGGTTGGGAGACCCCACGGGAGGAGGCACTGCTGACCCCCCCCCCCCAGACACCCAGGGGCGGGCAGGGCGAGGGGAGATGTCCCCACCCGGAGCTCACGCACGAAGGGGAGGGGACACTTACTTAGAAAGGAGAGAAGACCCACGGGGGGAGGCCCCGCTGGTGCCCCGCCCCCACAGGTCACCCACGTGTGGTGGGGGGCCAGAGGGAAACCCACGCGGGGGGAGGCGCCACTGACACCTCCTTCTGACAGCCCCGGGGGAGAGGGGTCAGCGCCCTCGGCTCCGCGCCGGTACTTGAACCCACGGCCCACGTTGTCCCAGCAAGGGGTAGACAGGAAGTGCCCCCGCTCGCTCGTGGGTCTGCGCCGCTACCCCGCCCGCCCAGCGCACTTCCGGGGCGCTCTAGGCACCCCGGAGGCCGAGTCATCTCGCTGGTTCGGGGCGGTGCCAAGGTCACGTGGGTCCCGGGTGCTTTTCCGTGGCCGTTCATTGACTGAATGATAACGCTTTTAGCTGGAGAAGCGGAGCAGTCAACTGGGGAAAAAAACCTATGTATTTAATATTTCTTAAAAGGGCTTGAGATCCAAGACATGTGGACAACTAACGGAAAAAGAGGGGGCCAAAAGCCACTCCACAACACAGAAGGGGTCAAAGGGCAGGCACAAAACATCCTGGAAAGAATGGCAAACCAGTAATAACCATGGGAAAGAACAGCTGAAATCCCTAACAAGCCCAAGGTTTCACTTCACATCCAGCAAGTTGGGAAAGATGACAGAAGATGACTTCCCGGAAGTCACTCATCTCTATGCTTTCAGGACCTTCTTGGGGTGGGGGAGGCAGAGCCATGGTCATGTGGACCAGCGGGAGGTGGGCGCTGTCTCGGTGGCTCTGGGACCCTGTGGGGGCGGGGCGGGAGTCTGGGAAGGATAGGGCAGTGCCAGGGCCCGACCCTTCTCCAGCCCAACAGAAGAGAAAATGGGCTGCTGGGAGGAGGTCGAGAGCACTGGCCCTAATCCCGAGCGGGGGCTGAAACGGCCCCTAGGGTTCTGCCCCAACCCGGCCGCTCCCCTGGACCCTCTGCTTGTGCCTCAGTTTCCTCTGTAAAATGGGAAGGAGGAAGACGCTGGAAATAAAGAACTCCAAAGAGAGGCTGTGAAGCGCCCCCCCCCCCCAGCCATCTGTGTCCTCTGACCCTGCCCATTCAAGGACAGGGTCAGTCTGTGCCCAGCTCAGTCAGAATCAGAACCTTGAGCCCAGGGCTTCCACCCACCACTGCTTCCCGTCCAGCTGCACATCCAGGGTGATGCTGGCTGGGGGTCCAGGTCCCCAACTCTCCCCTGTGTCCCCTTCCCTGCTGGTCAAATGGCCAAGGAGCTGGATATCACTCCATGAAAACCACTTTATCCACACCGGGAGGCCCACAACAAGCCTTGGACCCTGCAGATTCTGTCCATGACCATTTATTGAGAGTTCCCTTTGAGCAAAATGGGCACCCACTCTCCCCCGCCACAATGGGATGAGGGGAGCTGGGTGTGAGGCCGGGCCCCTCCATCTGTGGGTCAGCGGGTGAAGGCCAGAACCAGCTGCGAAGACAGAGTGTGCGGCAACATGTCCACGGGCACAGCTTGGCTCAGTGTGAAAGGTTCACCTGGGAGGTCCTGGCCAGAGGACACAGGGCAGCAGAGCCTGCAGACACCGAGGGCCTTGGTCAGCCCCAGAGCCCCCTGGTGGACACCTCCCCAGCTCAGGCCTCCCTCACTCACTGAAAGAAAGCGTCCATGTCTTCCGCATGAGGCCGGCCAGAGATGAACACTAGCTTCTGGATAGCTGGGCAGCCCCGGATGGCGCGAATGACCTTGTGAGCTGGTGGCAGAAATGGGGGGGGGGGGGGGATAAACATCAAAGCGAGGCTGCCTCAGGTTTGAGGGCCGGCCTTCAGGGAAAACCTTGGGATCCCTCAAGCTGGGGGGATGAGTCCCAGGGTACATGCTTACACAGTCCAGCACCCGCAGGGTCCACCAGAGCCATCAGTGCCTGACCATCCCCTTGGAACTTTCTGAGCCAGGCCACAGCCCTCTCCATGTCATACCGCCGGCATTCCCAATTGGTGATCTCTGCAGGATAAAGGCACTACCCTCGAGTGTGGCAGAGGCTCCCTCCCCCTTCTTCCCCGGATCCCAAGTGGGCTGGGGGGGGGGTGGGACTGGCCTGGCTCTGCTAGGCCCCAGGGGTCTTTTGTGGGTGCCCAGTGAGGACTCCTCAGGGGTCTGTAAGCCAGTTTGTGTGACAGACCCCGCCGGCCCCACCCCTCCTCACACAGTTAAAGAATAGGAGATTCTCAATCTGGGATAGAGGCAAGGAAAAATAAAGATGATTTTACCATGATTTTACCATCTCCTCTACCCACGCCCCCATCCAAGTTCACAGACCCTCTGAGATCTATCCATACACCCCTGACCTCTGAGGTGACTGGGATTCTGGTGAGAACCAGGCACACCAGGCCTTTGGCCCCTCTCCCCCCTGCTGCCTGCCCACACCTCCCAAAGAGGTAAGAAGCACGCCTTCCAGACCCTCTCCTGTACCATTGAAGGCTGCACTCCACCTGGCATCCTCTACAGCTTGCCTGACCAATCGCAGGCTGAGGACCTGGGCTGCCCACCGAGCCAGGGAGAGGCCCGTGGCACCTGTACACAGGAGAGTCAGAGGCCAGGATCAGGGACGGAGGCCATGAGACTCCCTCCCCATCCCTCCTGCCCTGGGTGAGCGGCCACCGACCTGTGCCGTGGCTAAGGTCAAGGATCACAGTGCTTTGGTCCACCCCGCCCAGCTCCGCCACAACCCGGAAGAGAGCCTCGGTGGCGCCCGTGTTTGGGGGGAAAAAGGCCCCTGGAGAGATGCGAAGTTTCAAGCCAAGGATGTCCTCAAACACGTGGGGCTCTCCCACCAGCAGCTGGTAGTGGTGGCAGCAGGATTGCTGTGGGCTGGGTGTGACCCTGAAGATGGAGATGGGGCAGCCCATGAGGAATGGCCCCCACAAGCAGCCCCAGCCTGGGTCCTGAACCCTACCAGGCTCACCTCTCCTTCAGGTAGAGAGAGGTCAGGTCACACACAGACCCCTGTCCTGACATGAAGAATTCCTTGGCTCTTTGCTTCTGAGCACAGACATCCTCCTGCTCGGACCCAAAACGAGAAGCTATGGACAGAGATGGCCAGCCCTGCCCCCCGGACACGAGGCGCAGCTCCATGACAGCTGCCCAGGCCCACCGCCAGGCTGACCTTGGGGCCTGACTCCCAGGGCATCACCCGGGTCACAGCCCTCTTCCCGTCAGCTCCACCACCACGGAGCCACAGGCTCTTACCTGACTTAGTCCCTGGGCATGAAAAGTGATGATGGCCATGGTATGGCCTTGGCTGCTGGTCCGCACTCTGAGTCGACGCCAGGGCCCAAGCTGGTGAATGTCAAGGCTGGGGTCCAGGGGGGTTTGTCGCAGAAACATCTCATAGCACTGGGAAGCCGAAAAGATGGGGCAGTGCCAACCCCTGGGGCCCAGTCAGAGAAGGGAGACCCCCCAGTGTCCCTGCTTGGTGTGACATCCATGTTTGGGTCCAACTTGAGGTACAGTCTGTGCCTCTACCGAGGGCCATGAAGTCCTGGGTTCAAGTCTAGCCTTTGGCTGGGTGACCAAGGGCCCCCAGCGGCTCTTTACGGTGACAGTTCAGAAACAGACTGACCCACTAGCATGTCTGGCAACGCCTGCCTCCTCTCACACCTGTGGCCCCCCACCTCGATTGCCAAGGGAGGGAAGCTCTGAATGGAGAGAACAATTTCTTCCTGTGTTTCTCTCTGTATCAACATTTCTAGGGTCTCAACCAGTCTCCTCCTCTGCTTCTCCCAAGCCGGCTCCCAGATGGGTCTGAAGGTGCCCATCTGACGGGCATCTAGGTGAGCCTTTTTTACGGGCCTCTTCTAACCCCCATTCAGGGTATCTAAGCCCTGGACCTTAAAGGGGGCCAATGTGAATGTGGAACAGGTCAAGGAGTCAGTGTGTTCTGCTGACCTGAGCTTTGTCACAAGAGAGTCAAGATGGTGGAGCAGATGGGGGTGAATCTGGGCAAAGATGCCTGGCTCTGGGGGCGGAAGACCTGGCTGGTTGGGTCCCCCCCCCACGACCCCAGCCCCCAGCCAGTACTCAGCTCCCCTGGGCCCTTCTTACCTGGGCAACCTGGAGGTGCCTGGCAGGCAGGGTTCTCAGATAGCCAGCAGGTACACAGAAAATCGTCTTTCCTAAGGAAAAACCAAGATTTATTTGGCCTGTTTTCTTCCAAAGCTTCTAGAAACAGGATGTGTGATCCCAACTGTGTCTGAGCAGGAGAGGCAGATGTCCAGGAAGGTCCTAACAAGAAAAGGTCATGGTCACGGTGCCACCAGTGAAGGTCTGGCTCCCCCCAGCTAGTTGACTTCATGTGACCGCCCCTAGCCCAGCTCAGGCCCCACCTGGAGCAAGGGACGTGCTCAGTTCTGGGGGTGACAGTCCAGCAGAGACACTGATGGGCTGGCCTCTCCCTGAGGGACAGGCCCTGAGTCCTCACTAGCTGAGGAGAAGGTGAAGGGCCAGGGAGGGGTGTGGTCAGAGAAGCCTCAGGGGGCTTGCTAACTGTCCACGTCAAGTGGATGATGGATTCGCCTTCTTCTGTTCAGGAGCCATGGGTGGGACGTGCAGTGAGGCAGTGTTAAGCTCCATGCCCAGAACTCCCTAACCCCCGAAATGGTCCCAGAGTGCGGAGGTGGGGGCTCCCCCTCCCCCGAGGTCTTCCAGTGCATGCAAGATGCCCACTGGCTGGGGAGGTTTCAAGGAAGCGGACTCTCCTTGCATCCCTCCCGACTGAGACGCGGTGCCTTTGGTCAGCCACAGAAGCCCCCGCTCAGCCCAATAGGCTCTTCCTGGGACCCAATGGCTCACTCAGACCTCTTCAAGATGAGGCTGCCCCTAAGACAGCTAACTGTCTCATCCCTCCCAGGATGAGTCTGCTTGCTCTTCCCCAAACCTGGGACCCCTCATCCACTGTGCATCTTCTCCCTGGAAGGCTGTGATCAGGGGCTGCCTTCTACAGGAAGCCCTTCCTCATCTCCTTAGCCATTCACGCCTTCTCCCTCCTTCCTCTTCAATTTATCAGGAAGGTGAGGATAAGCCCTTGAGGGCAGGGACTGCTACCTTGCTATCTTTGTATCCCCAGAAAAACACCTGGTGCTTCATAAATGCTTCTTGGATTGAACCAGACCCATGCAGGCACAGAACTACCAGTCAGAAAGGCAGCTAGCTTTAGGGAAGGTTGGAAATGAGGATGGTCATTGGCTTTGGAACCAGGAGGCCAGCTGTCCGAGACAGAGCGAGAGAGAGCGAGAGAGAGAGAGAGAGAGAGAGAGAGAGAGAGAGAGAGAGAGAGAGAGAGAGAGAGAGAGATGGCAAATCTGAAAATGCCCTGGGGAAGCCAAGCCACGAGATTCCCTGGTCTCCACTGGTCCTTCCCTGTCCATTCCCCCAGACTCACCTCCAGGGGATCTCAAGAAGCACCCCACAGTCCTCGGGTGGCCATCTGGGCCCCGGTTTACAGAGAAGACAGATTTGTTTCTGTAACCATCGATGACAGGCTGGCAAGAGAAGGTTGATAGGGAAGGAGGGAGAAGAAGGGGAGGCAGCAGTTTAAAAGGGGCTGTCCATTAACCCTAAGGACAGGAAAAGAATGACCTGTCTTTTGTGGACAGCCAAGGGACAAGATCCCCACGGGGAATGGGCCTGGAAGGGGCCATGGATGGGGTCACTACCACTGGGGCCCCTGGCTAGGTCCCAAAGCAGAAAAAAGGAACTCACCGATGGGATGAAAGGTTGGAGGAGGGCACCCAGCCCTGGGGTCTCAGCCACTGCAGCGCCCAGCTTGTGGAGACGTCCCTGTAGCTGCTCCAAGGTCTTCTTGGTCACTTCAAACTTGACCTGCAACAGGCAAAGGGACATGGGGCTCTCTCTGGCCCTGCTGGTCATCCTCTGGTCCCAGAGCTCAAAGCAATCTTCTGTCACCCACCAAACTGTGTTCACTAGCCTGGGCCTGGCATTCAAGGCCCTCCACAATCTGGTGTCTTATTTCAGGCTGCCCCATCTTCTTCCTTCACTGGGCTTTTGCTTCTCCCACCCGTCCCTGTGCCTGCAATGGCCTCCTCTCTTCCTCCAAAGCCACTGGTATCTCTTCTCTCCCAGCAAGGGGCTGCCCTAATCCATGGAAACATCAGGTATTGGGGTGGTGAGCCATAGGGATGTCTGAGCTGATCTGCAGTCCCTCACCACAGGCTGCTGAGGGGTGGTGGGGTTCACCCTGGGAAGGGGTAGAGACAGTAGGCCCCCTCCCCATAAGGGTAAGTGCCAGGGCTGTGACAAAACCAGGGGAGGTTTGAAAATCATGCCCTGTGGCGGAGTCCACTGGGAGAAGGGGCAGCCCAGTGGGGGCCATGGTCACCCCCACAACCCTGAGTCATCTTTAAATCAGGGATACAAAGGGTGGGAACAGAGAAGAGGGCCAACTGAAGCAATTGGATGAGACTAGCCGATTGTGAAAGTGGCAAACTCCAGTGCTGGAGGGGGCGCTTTTGGCCCCTCACTGTTAACACTGGCGGTGGGCACTAGAGCCAGAGTCCCCTGGGCAGGCCTCAGTCGAAGCGCGTCTCTAAAAGGAAGAAGTGACTGAGCCCTCCCGGTTGGCCCATCTGCAGTGAGGTCACACGTTACAGACAAACGGTCAGGAAGCGTTAGAGGAAGCTTTCCATCTGGGGGATTCTTACATGGAAGAAATCCCGGGTCCATCCTTCTTTAGCCACCCCCCGCCCCGCAGAGAAATATGAAGCCATGCAGGGAGCCATGGTGGCTAGGACCCAAGCCTGAGATTCCAGGGAAATGGAATGACCCAAAAGAATCAAAGAGAGAGGGACAGGTCAGCAGAAAGAGCCAAGCACAGAGACCCGGGGTCAGGCCTGCACCATTAGGGCCTCCTGGAGCTTCTCTGAATCAGGGGACAAAGAAGGCTCCTTCTGCACATACTGCGGGTGTACATTCTAGTTCTTACTCAAGAGTTAGACCCTCACCTTTAGTTGTTCATCATAGTTCAGTCTCCAGAGGGGCAGCAGTTGATCTGCCAACCTGAAATAAACCCAGGCCTGAGCTCCATCTAGCCAGTCACCCATCCACCCATCCATCCATCCATCCATCCACCAATCCATCCATCTATCCATCCAGTCACCCATCCATCCATCCACCCACCCCCATCTATCCACCCACCCAACATCCCCCATCCACCCACTCCCATTCAGCCATCCATCCATCTATCCACCCACCCATTCATCTATCCATCCATCCACCCATCCAGTCAGCCACCAATCCATCCATCTATCCATCCAAGTCACCCATTCATCCATCCATGTACCCACCCACCCCCATCCATCCACCCAATCCCATCCAATCACCCATACATCCACTCACCCACCCATCTGTCCATCCATCCATCCATCCACCCAGACCCAGGAAAAGTTTCCCAGTTGCCTCCTATGTGTAAGACTACATCTGAAAGAGACCTTCTAATCCATTTTACCTCTTTCCAGTTTTCATCCCTCTAGGAAGGATCTCTGTTTTTCTCCCTCCAGGAGAGAGGTTCCCACCCAACGCCCACTTCTCTCAATAAGTCACCATCAATTTCTTTCCTGCTGAATCCAATGATGTTTTCTTATTCTTCTCCTTGACCCCACCCCCCCAAACTAATCACCTTGTCCTCAGGGCCATTTTCTTCTCTCTGGGTTTTTGTGACCCACCCTCCTCAGTCTCCTTTGCTGATTCCTCATCTACACTCATCCCTCTATAAGACTTAGTCCTGGGTGCTCTTCTTTTCTCTCTTTACATATACTCTCCTCCTGTTCTCAACAGCTCCCAAGAGTTCACTGATCATCTCTATGCAGGGAACTCCCAAACCCAAGTCCCCAGTCATCCTTCGTTCCCTGGGCTCTAATCCTCCCATCTTCCCCCAGGTGTGTTGGGGATGTTCCAAGCTCACATCTCCAACAGGGTCATAGTTCAGTCTCCACCCTGAGGTCCAACGCCACTTCTCCTTCTGACTTCCCTATCTTCCTCAGTGGCACCACCATCCTGACAGTCACCCCAGTTTACAGCTTAGCAGCTAGCCTTGCCCCTTCTCTCCTACACTCCACGCCACCCCTACCCCACATCCAATCAGTTGCCAAGTCCTCAACCTTTCCCCAGGTTCAGGGCATCTCCTGGCTCTCCTGGATTATTTCAATGGCCTCCTCACTGGCCTCCCTGACTCCTCTCCACAACTAACCTTCTTACAGCTCAGTTCACTGGGATATGAACTCACTATCTGACAAAAACTGCCGGGAAAACTGGAAAAGAGTATGTCAGAAACTAGGCATAGATCAAAATCTCACACCATATACCAAAATAAAGTCAAAATGGGTTCATGATTTAGACACAAAGGCTGATACTATAAGCAAACTGGGAGAGCAAGGAATAGTTTACCTGTCAGATTTACAGAGAACAGAAGAATTCATGACCAAACAGGAGATAGAGAACATTATGAAATACAAAATGGATAATTCTGGTTACATTAAATTGAAAAGTTTTTGCACAAAGAAAGTCAATGTAACCAAGATAAAACAGAAGTAGAAAACTGGGAAAGAATTTTTATAACCAGTATCTCTGATAAGGGCCTCATTTCTAAAATATATAGAGAATTAAGTCAAATTTATAATATAAATCATTCCCCAATTGATAAACTGTCAAAGGATATGAACAGGCAGTTCTCAGATGAAGAATTAAAGCCATCTATAGTCATATGAAAAAATGTTCTAAATCACTATTGATTAGAGAAATGCAAATCAAAATCAAAGGCAAATCAAAACTCTTGAGGTACCACATCACACCTATCAGATTGGCCAACATGACAAAAAAGGAAAATCATACAGCCCAGTTCGGATGGAGGTGCTGCCCTGCCCAAGAGGTCCCAGGGGCTCTCCAATGGCCCTGGGACCAAAGGACTCAGCCTTACCTCTCCTGCCAAAAGCTCAGGTCTTGGCCTGGCTGCCCTTCCTGGTGCTTTCTTTCTCCCTTGCTGTGCTCCCACACTGCCTGGGTGAAGTTTCCCTCCCCTGCTGAGGCCAGTGATGCCTGGTGCTGACCCTGGTGACCCCAGGCCCACCAGGGAAGCAGTCTTCTTTTGGAAAGGAGAGCCCCAGAAGACAGGATGGACCTTGGGCTGGCCATTAGCCCCCTGGGACAAGAGCAGCACTCGAACCTTCCCCTGCATGAGAACATGAGACTGACCAGAAAGGCTGAGATGAAGAGGCCTGCCTCCCATCTGCCTTTCTCCCCTCCACCCTTTTGCTCAGGCTGGGTACCCTGCCTACAGGGCTCTCCCTTATCATCTCTGGCCCCCACCCCCGCCCCCACCCCCACCGAGGTAGAACATAAACTCCCTGAGGGCAGGAGAAGGCTCACTCCCAAGTCCGCAGGGCCTTTAGTGCAAAGCTCACTGAGAGCTGTCCCACGTGGAAGGGGCTGATGGGAGGCCTGCGGTCCAGGTAGGCCCACTGCCTTCCCCTCTCTGGGCACCCCCTTGTAAAATCGGGATAGGCACTAATTAGGCGCCAGCTCGGGCTACGACACAAACACCAAGGCAGGGAAAGGGAGGCACAGGAGTGGGGGCACGGCTGGACAGAGGCGCTGCCCGCCCCACTTCGGTCAGCTGGCTGGCAGTGACCTGGGCAGCACTGGCGGTAGCACGAGAGCGGACCAGGAGCACACGAGCCGGGAGCCCCCTTGCCAGGCCAGCCGCAGCTACTTCCGGGCGGGCAGGAGGTGCTCCTCCTCCAGAGGGGCGGGGCCCTGGACGAGCGTCCTTCCTATTCCTAATCAGGCTCCACCCCCCCACCCACCCCCCCCCCCCCGCCCCGTGCCCCTCACGTGCTCTCATGCGCCCCAACACAGCCCTTACACTTCCCCCTCCCACACCTCCGTGCCCCCGCTTGCCCCCTCTGGCCCGTGGTTGTATCATAGGCAGATTCGAAGGCGCTTCCTTTTCATAGGATTTCCAAAAGTTCATTGCGATAATGGAACGAATTAATTATGCAATTCCCTAGTCGGTTCGCCCGCCCCCGTAGCGGATTTTTCCTTTGGAGTTTTCTCCGTACCTCTTTAACTTCGGTTTCTCACACTGGGTTGTTGCAATCGTCTATTTCTTTTGTTAATCTGGATACTTTGTATTCCGGTGGAGATTCATTCCTCCCTCTCTAGGGGTCTATGTCCAGCCTTTCGCTCACGTGCCACAGTCTGGCCAGCTAGTCCCCAGACAGCGCCCCCTTTAGATAGGTTTCAGTCCTTTGCCCCCACAAAAAAGGGCTGCTATGATTTTTGTACAAACAGAGCTTTTTCCTCTCTTAAGGGCCTTTCCACTCTGTGAGCAGTGTGTGGGCATAGGGTGTGCCCAGTTCTCGAGGGGATCAAGGCATCTCAGGGTGATGTGTTGAACTGCCAGCAAATCAGATTTAAGTGAGGCAGAGTTGCCCAAAGACATCGATGTCCAGTGGCAAGACAAAAGTCAAGCCGACCAGAGATGGCGCCGATGCAGTGGGTGACCTTGGCCTTTCATAATTATGGTCTTTCCCAGGCCTCAATTTGTCTGATGCCATACCTACTCAATGACTAAGGGCTGGGTGGGAGCTGAGACAAAAAAAGCGACCCAATTTATCATCATAAAAATGTCCATCTGGGAGGGCACAGAAGTTAGGGGCAGTTCAGGGAAGGAGGAAAGGTTTGAAGTGGTCAGAAAGGAGACCCAGAATTTCCAGAGGTGGAGGGGAGGAGAGCATGGAATTGGGAAAGGGCAGTCATGTGTGAGGGATGGCAAGAAGGGAGCCTCACTGCACCCTAGTGTGTGTAGGGAGGAAATTACCTCATTATAAGGCTGGAGAGGAAGGACCTCAGATGCCAAACAGAGGAGTGAGATACTGGAGATTACTGAACAAAGCCAGTGACATGGGCAGCCCTGCCCTTTGGGAAGAGCTCTTTGGCAGCTGTACAGAGAATACACTGAGGATCAGTCAGTCAGTCAACAAGAATTTATTAAGCACCTGCTGTGTGCCAGACACTGTGCTAAGTACTGGGGATATAAAAAGAGGCAAAAGATGGGCCCTGGTCTCAGGGAGCTAGCTCCCAGTCTAATGGGGAGGCAGTGTGTGAACAACTATGTAGAAGCAAGGTCTATACAAACTAAGCTGGAGCTAATGAACATAGGGAAGACACGGAATTAAAGTGGCTCTGGAAAAAACTCCTGTAGAGGCCGGACTTTAGCTAGAGCTTGGAGGAAGCCAGGAAGGCCAGGAGGAGGGAACGAGGAGCACGAGCACTCCAGGCAGGGCAGACACTGCTGGACTGAAGTAGGAGAAAAGCTAGTAGGTACAGGAGCCAAGGCAGAGCTGGACGGCTTGGCGGTCCCCAAGCCCTTCGAGGTCCTTGGAGGACCCCTGCTGGGTGGCCCAGGAATGTCATACTCGGCAGGCCCAGCCCCAGCACCCTAAAGGGGACACTCGTCGCCCTTTTCCGGAGGCTCCCCCGGACTTCTCACTTACCCCAGCTGACACAACACAGGCAAACACAAGATACAAATATTCAGCCTTTATGTATTCTTGGTTTCCTCGTCTCTGCTTGGAATGGGAAAGACCTGGAGGCAGGAAGAAGCCCAGAGCTTGCTCTACCAAGAATCCAGAACCTCAGAGCTTGGAAGAGGCACCAGGAACAATGGAAGGGAGCTCGGTGCAGTGGCAAGAGGGTTCAATCAAAGGAACAGGGCCCGAGTTCAAGTCTGACATTCGAGACTTCCAACTAGTGTCACCTTGGGTAACTCCTGACCTCTCTGGCCCCATTTCCTCACCTGTAAAATGAGGGAGATGGACTAGATGGCCTCAGAGGTCTCTTCCAGGGGAAGATCTAGGTCCTAGGACTGCAAACTCAACAGTTTCCCTAACAAGGGATCGGCTGGGCTCCAGGGGAAACCCACCAGGGCTGGGGAACTCACTACCTAATAGAGCCTGCAGCCCTTCTGGATGGCTCCAATACTGGGGAGCTGTTCCCGACACCAAGCCCACACAGAATCCGTCAGACCCTACAAATATTTGGTAACAGTTATTGTGGCCTCCCCAAGTCCGGCTTCTCCAGGAAAAGCACACTCCTTCGAAGCTCCCCCCATGACACAAGCCCCAGGTCCTTTCCCTCCCTGGTCCCCTCCACTGGACACCTGCCTGCTGCTCTGCCCTTTGCTGGGCCTGGGACCTCACTGGTTTGGGGACTGATGCCCTCCCTCAGCGCCTTCCCCTCCCAGCCTTCTCCCGTCCACCCCCATCCAGAGCATCCAACCAAGGCATGGGAAAGGCTCCTCCAACTCTTCTTCCACGTCAGGCTCTTGTCTATCCCCCATTCCTCATTCTGTCCACCATCTGTGGGAGTCGTACGGGTCTTTCCCAATACCCCATAAGCTAAGTGGGTCACCACTGAACTAGGAGTCTTTCTGATACTGGCCTGGGTAACCCACAATTCTGAAGCCTCAGAACGAGGTGTGTGACCACATAGTTTGTCTGAAAAGATGCGTCTTTGAAAGCAAAAAAAAAGTAAACCTGGTAATGATATTTCTATGATGTGAAATTTAATACAAACTTCCCCCAAAAAATTCAGTTTCATGTAAATTCTTCTTCTGGTTCTTCGTATTTTGGGATGTGTGCATTTATCAATGACTAACCTATAATAAGTAAATTTATCTTTAAAAAAGATGGAGTTTCTACATTAATTGGGAAAAAATTATTTTAAAAAACATATAGAAATAGAGGGATCTTTGCTTAATCTCATCACAAACACATATAACCTCCCAACTCCCCTCCAGCTCATTCCCTCCCCCTCAATTCTAGCACCAACAGTCAAGGCCTGTCTCTGAGAGACTTATTGAGGGACTTGCTCAGGGGCTGTTCCCCAGTCCCACTTCCCAGACTCTACTGTCTTCTCCCCTCTAACTATAGAGCCCATTTCTGGAGTCACCTGAGGCTCAGCACATCACCAGGGGCCACCAGGGGCCTCTGCAGGAGCCCACCAGCACTAGGGAATCCCTCATGCAGGAAGTTCTCCTGAGTAGCCAAAACAGGTCCTTTCCTATGATTCACCTGGCATACAGTCACAGAAGAACAGGATTTTCTTTGAGGCCAGACAGATCAAAGAATGTACATAGCCCAAGCATAGGCAGGAGGCCCTCCTTTTGGGAGGAGATCCCTTCACACAAGGCTTAGCTCTATCAAGGCAATTACATCTTTTGGAATTGACAAACAACTACTTGTCAATATCCTTCTGAAAAGGGGGCTCCCTCAATCCAAATGTGATGGGGGGCCCGGGGACCACTCCCTCCCTGGTCCTGGACATCTCAGCTGGACTGGTCAATCAGCGGGGCTGGCGCTCTGGTACTTGTCCTCCCCCTCAGCCTAAGGCTGGCAGAAGTATCTCCCAGGCTGCTCAGGCACCTCTCAGGCAACACAGAAAACTAGAGCCTCTCCTCTTTTCCTCCCACTTCCAGGCAGCCATATATATATTAGAGCTCCCAAGCAACAGGGCACACTCCACAGAGACTGTGCTCCTCCTCCTGTTCTCTGGACGTGCTCCCCTGCTTCCTGATTTAAAAACAAGACCTCAAAATGAGAAACCTCTGTAAGGAAGGGGAATTCTAGTGTGTACACGGTGGATTTCTTGTTATTCTTTCTTAGAGTTTTCTTCCCAGGAATCTCTACTTCCTAGGTGCTGGATATGAGCTCTCACGATCATGGTTGAAGATAGTTTCTACTGCATAGCTGCGGTAGACATAGGGGTGAAGGAATGTAAAATTGTGAGGCTATTGCTAGCAATATACTTTCTATGTCTGTTGCTGTATATAAAGCAAGTGGGCACTGGTCAGTGACCGGGGATACCCATAAGTGTGAATGTGCAAGCTGAATGCTGTGCGTGCCTTGATCAGCCCCCATCAAGGCTTAGGAGGGGGAATCTGTGTGTTTGCCTCAACTCGCCCTTATTGAGGCTTGAGGGAATTTAAGGGAGTGCACAAGTTGTGCTGGTCTCGATTGACCCCATTGAGACAGGGGTAGTTGCCCCACCTTCACTCCAGCCCCAGCGAGAAAGGCTGTTAGGGAATGCTGTAGGCATCTGTGCTCCCTTTGGGCATCAAATCAGCAAACTCCCTTTGAGAAGACTAGACTATAATAAAGTAAGCTTATTTAACCCCTTATTGTGACTCTATTCCTGTCTGACCGGATCAAAAGCGAACCCACTAGTGAGACAAGTACTAGAAGCCCTCCTGTGTCTCCTTCCTAAGAAACAGCGTAGTTGGCGTGTTTACTTGTCCAACAACCTCCTTCTAACTTAGGGTAAGTAGCTGAATCCTCATCTCCAACACTAAGCCCTAAACAGGTAATGCATGTTGGTCAAAATATTATAAAACACTTCAGTTTCAGGGCTCCCCAATTAACTCCAAAGTTCTCCAATCTGACACAAGCACCTAGAACACTGAATTAGGAAGCTGAGTTTGCCCTGGACAAGTTAATTGCTTCCACAGCTACCTTTATAATTATCCTTTTTAAAAAAAAATTTTTGAGTTCCAAATTCTCTCCCTCCCCAACCCATGGAGGTGAAAGAAATAATTCCTAATCAACTTAGTATTGACTATCCTGATGATTTATTTTAGTTTGTAGGGTCTAATTCGGATAGCTTTTGGATGAAGAGATACGCAGTCACAGTAT